CAGGTGCTTCGGGCCTGTTGCCACTGTTGGAGCTCATACAGCTGCAGTGGTATAGAAAGGAGCTGCTCCTGCTGTGTGCTGCAGGTTCCCTTCTGACATGAGCACAGGAAAGTCTTTGTTGGCTCTTAGCAGTGAATGTGTTTCTGACACAACTCTGCCAAGCCCTGGGCTTTTACAGTCCCAGAGGTGGACTCTAGACCCTGGGTGTGCAGTCAGCTCTGCACTTCCCCAGATTTAAAGGTGCTCAGCTTGAGAGGTTTGCTTTGGGACTGTGTCTCAGCTGTTCAACTTCAGTGCTACTGGCTGCTTTGGGCGTTTGGGTTGTCTTGGCATTTTGAATTGCTCCTGGAAAAGTTACGTCATGACTGTGGATGTCTGAAATGTTCCTTGCTGTGGGAACCAGCCCAGGCTATGCTAGGTGTTTCTGGCAGAGCCATATCTCCAGAGGCCTAGCCCCATTCACCCCAGCTGTCATTCCCACCACAGTAATGGTGTCCTTTTCTTTCCCCGTCTTTTTCTTTTCTCTCGTCTTGTAACGCCGGTAGGTATTACAAGAGTTCAGTTGTGCTGATGTGCTTTGTGATCCCTACCTTTGTGCCGTGGTACCTCTGGGGCGAGAGCCTGTGGAACGCCTACTTCCTCGCCTCCATCCTCCGGTACACCATCTCTCTCAACGTCACCTGGCTGGTGAACAGCGCTGCCCACATGTACGGCAACCGCCCCTACGACAAGCACATCAACCCTCGGCAAAACACCCTGGTCACGCTGGGAGCCATCGGTAAGCGCAGCAGCCCCAGGCAGAGCTTGCAAACTCAGAGCCACACCCCATCCCATTTCGCCCTGGCTGGGGCTTTGGGCACCTTGCAGCTGGACACCACTTGGAGCCAGGGCTTGAAGGAGGCTGGAGCTTGCACATCCTAGAGGAAGGCTCCCTTGTTTTGCATTGAAGTAATGTCATGTAGCCTCTGGGAAGAGAGGTGTTAGCACACAGTAGCAATCCTCTTCTCAGCAGCTGGCTGGGGATAGGGCAGCAGAAGTAAGTGACCCCGCTTCTTACTCAGTTGTGCATCCCCTCTTGAAGCACTTATGGTTTTCTTCCCTGAGTGTAAGGAGTGGGATGTGCCCCTTCCTACTGGGGAGGAAAGCCCGGAGTACTGAAGTGGAGTCTCGTTTGGGTCTCCCATAGCTGTGGTGCAGTGTAACCTCCACTAGATGCAAGACTTGGGAAATGGGTGTTGGGATGTCCCACCTGAGTGTGTTCCTGAGTCGATAGAAGTGCCAGCCATGTGGTCTTTAAACTCCCTCTCTGTTTTCCAGGTGAGGGTTTCCACAACTACCACCACACCTTCCCATTTGACTACTCAGCCAGTGAGCTGGGCCTGAAGTTCAACCCCACCACCTGGTTCATTGACTTCATGTTTTGGCTGGGGTTGGTCACTGACCGCAAGCAGGCTCCGAAGGAGATGATCCAGGCTCGCAAGGAAAGGACTGGAGATGGCAGTGCCTGAAAAGTAACGCTTCGCTGTGCCAGCGCTGCTCTACGCGTGGGTGGGTGGATGTGAGTGCAACCCCGTGCCTGTGGTGGATTTACCTCTTGGTAAAATTACTTTTTTTCAGATCAGTTGGGCTGAATTAATTCCCCAGAAACAGATTCGGCCACAGCTTTTTTTTTTTTTTCCACTTACTAGCTGTCTTATGTCCAAACTTAAGACTATTAAGTGTAAAAATGTTACATATTATTTAATATTGCAGTTAAACAGGAGAGAGATTTGATTTTAGTCACTGTAGTTCATGTCTGAGATTTGTTGTAATTTGCTTGTTTATGGTAAATGTTGGCAGGTTAAAGAACTAACTGTCCTTTCCAAGTGCAGTTAGGAGAGGTTTTTGTTTCTACTGTTAATCAAATATGCTTTTGAGACGCATCTTTCGAGGGGATGGGGCAGGGCCCGATGTGCTGTGTCAGCTACATACTAATGGAAAGGATAGTAACAGCACCGATGGAAAACACAGTATGTCCAAGGGGAAAAATCACCCCAAATGTAGTTAAATGTTAGTTTGAAAACCTGCTTTCTTCTTTTTGTTAGCCCTGTTAGCCAGCCCAGTGCACTGCTGTCTTTGTTAAATATGAAAAACATTTATTGCTGAGCAGGCTTTTGTGTTAAAGATTAGTCTCTATACAGGCCAAAATAACAACTGATGCTATGTTGAGATGATTCCTTTGTTGTCACATATACATTGTAATTGTAAATGTATAGAGCTCAACTATCTCTTAAGCCAAATAAAGCTTCGGTTTCAACGTTTGGAGACCTAAGTTATATTCTAATCAGTCATGGCCATCAATGCATGCATATTTTAGCTCGTTTTGCACAGGAGGCCTCTTAATTTCTTTTTCTGCCTTTGACTAGCGGGTCTTAGAAAACTGACCTTTATCTAAGTCAGAGTCTGTACTAATATTTCAGCTGCATGCAACATCCATTGGTTTCTGAGCAAAATATAAAGACAGTTATGTAGCTTCTGAATTTTAACAGTTGCCTTGCTTAACCAAAAAAAATAAGAAAAAAAGGAAAAAAAGGAAAAATATATAAAAAAAAAAAAAAAGGCATGTGGGTTTAATGGGACATATAGCCCTTTGTGTTAGATGTTAGCCAGTGCAGGAGAGAGGCTTTGTATTGTCAGCACTGGAGCACTTTTGAAGATAGAGGGCATGATTTTCATTTATAAGGAAGGTCACTGCCTTGCCCCTTGGAGAGGGAGTGCCTGTTTCCCAGCCACACAGCCCCATGCCCTGGGCAAGGCAGGGATCTTGAGATAACTGAGACTCAGGCCCAGATATTTTCAGGAAAGATGCAAAAGTGGGGAAAAAAATAAAATGGTTTCTTTTTTGTTCCGTTTCTTGTTTTTTAAATGATGCCATATAATATAAAAGAGTTGTCTTTATTCTGTCTTTCATCCAGCAGGTGTTTTAAAAGTGTTATTTTGTCATTAATGATGTGTAAACTCTTGAGTGATTTACAATAAACAGTTATGAGTTAGACTGGCTGCCGCGTTTTGTTTTGAAACGTCTCCCAGAGCAAAGGGCTTTGTGCATCTCACATCAGAATTACAGCAGGGTTTTGCTTGGCATTTCCAGCTACTCAGTTGCTGCAGCGTTTTCAAAATACCTACCTCCTCAGCATTTCTGAATGTCAGTGGAAGAGGAGGTTGTCACATGGAAGGGCGTGAAGAGATTTGATAACTTCGGGAGTAGTGGCCAAGCTGATAGAGGGGGAAAAAGAAAATTGAAGCTGACACAAGATTGAGAGGAGAACGTGGCAAGTTCTTGCACTTGAAAATCCCACTTTAAAGAAAAATACCAGCCCAGTGTGACTGCAGGACAACACTTTGACCAAACAAACAGGGTCCCAGAGCTGGGAGGCTTCTGACCTGCTGGTTAGGAAGATTGCTTCCACTGTTGCTTCCATCTTTGTCCAGTCAACAGGCCATTGGAGAGCAGTAGAAACCACAGGAAACCTGCCTTCAGGGTCATTCAGGTAATAGTTTGGACTTGGTGTTTGGATGTAGGAAGCTTGGGAGATGTGCAAGTGCCTGATCTCACTGGTGCTTCCATCATTTCATTTGTGCGATTTCCTGACCAGAGAGCTGCAGTGAATGGATTTCCCACACACTAGGAGACACAACTTCCTCTTGATCTTTATCATTTTTCTTTTGTGCTGCAATTACTTGGACTTCCTTAAGCTGATTCCTGGCAAGTACGTGGTGTAAGAAGAATAACTGGCCTTGCAAAGAGGTACATGCTGTTCTGAACCTCTCTGATTACCTGAAAGTATAACAAGGTAATATTCCCCCTGCCCTCCCCAGCTCTAAGACTTCAGAAGCAGCAGTGGGTTTCAGGGATCTGAGATAGGTATTGAAATCATTGGCAAGTAACCTGGTTTTGCAAAACTGAAAATAAACATAATTCAGAAAAGGAAAAGCTCCTCCATCAAAAGCCTTATCCTAAAGTTTACACTACCTGAGCTCCTGTTTCTGTAAATGAACTTCTCCATGTGGTGGAGTTGATAAAAAAATGTCAGCTAGCTTTTGCAGGAAGATTCCTAAAGAGGATTTCTGAAGATGGTGCCTCAAAATTTGGTAAAACAAGGAATACTTCCATGCATTTCCTTTTTTTGTTTATTTGTTTGGATTTGTTGGGGGGGGGAGGGGGGGTGAGTGGGTTTGTTTTTAACTTCTTGAATAATTTGTTTTGCTTTTATTTTTTAAAATCATTTTGGTCATGTTCTATAGTGTGTTCTCCCCTTCCTTGAGAAGATGTAGGGTCTCTGGGAGACAGGAAGGGTCCCAGCCACTTCCCAGAGTAGCTGCTAGATCAATCCACAGCTGCATGCAGTGATGTGGAGAAGCCCTGGTAAGGCACTTTTTTCTGCAGCCTTTGGCACCTCTCCTGCTGATCTGGTGATTAAGGACCTGCTGGTGGTTTCTGAGCAGTGCAAAAGTGTAGAAGGACTGCTGGTGGATCAGTAGCTGGCTGTAGGCTGGACTTAACCTTAGACTGTCATCTAAGACCTGATGTCTGAGAGTGCCTTATCTTCTGTTGTGTCTAAACTCTGTTCTCAGCACACTGAACCATCTGGAATAACACTACCTAGGACCGGGAACAAGAGGCGTTTGTGCTCTGCCCCATGCTGTGTCGGACTGAGTGTTTCCAGGCTTTCAGCTTTGGCACACGGCAGGGACTGGATCTGTTTTACCTCTTTTCTCAGAACTGGTGGGGCCCTTAGGAAGTGCGGTGTTGGCTCTGGAGCCACGTGCTCCTTCCACAGCAGAAATCCCCAAGCAGATCACCTGCTTTCTGCCGTGGGCTGGCTCGAGGGAGCGCTGTGTCTGCCCTGGCACTTGGCACAATTGCTGCGGGAGGATTTAATCTGTAACTTACAGTGTGTACTTGACCATGCAAACAGTGATGAAACCTGCCCCCGCTCAGGGCTGTGTACAAACACCACTGCCACGGTGTGGGGTGAGACCAAGGTTGTGGTGGCTGACTGCAGGGGAACATCCAGGCTCCATCTAACCCCATCTCTGCCGCAGTTGGGCACACGGGCTGGGCTGCGTCAGGATAATCCTTGGAGCAGGAGGCAAGCGTGAGCAAAACCTGCTGGAGCTGAAGTTACACCTTGACAAAGGTGCTGCGGTGATAGGGTGAGTACTGGTACTGAAGAAATGCATGAGGGTTTGCAGTCCCTGAGAAGCAGCCAAGTGGAGCAGACATCTCCTGTGCCATCTCCTGTGCCATCTCCTGCCTGACAGCCCCCACTGCCATGCTCAGGAAAGCTAGCAGCAGTCCTGCTCTGCACCACTGGGCTGGGTGCTGCACCAGGGTCCTGTGCAGCAGCACCAAAACTTCACTTGGCACTTGCATGTAGAGCTGGGGTGGGAAAAAGGCGGGTGGTCAGCCCTGGGCAGGTCACCTTATCCTTGGGCCAGTTTAAAAATACCTGGTGAAAGCAGTGGATTGCTGGAGTTGCAGAGGAGGCTGCTCTTGAGGCATGAGGGGCAGATTTCTGCCCACTTCCTCCAGTGGCTCTGCTTGTGAACCCCGGTGGTGTCTGCATCCCTATCTCTGCAGCTTGCAAGTGCAAGGTGACTGCTGTCCTCTGGCCAGCAGCCAGAACACAGCTTTCTAGAAATAAGCCCAGCAGATGGGAAATGTGGCTGACTTCAGGTATCACGTTCAGCTGCTGGTGTGGGAGGCTCCTAGGGAAAAAAAAAAAATCTTCTAAAAGGTCTCCTGTGTCCACATGAGCCTGAGAGTCCATGCCATGCTGGAAATGCGTTGACTGACCTATCTGCTGTGGTTAGCTAACGTTTGGGTTATTTGCAACTGAGAGGTCTCTGAGTTTGGAGAGATTTTTATCAGTTGACAGTATATCAGCTCCCAAAAGCAGGCTGGACTTGTAGTACCTTGAAATTTTTGCTCCTAGTCTGTTTTATAGCTGTACCCTTACCTAGAAAGGGTCTCACAGGGTGTTATTACGGGGTTTCTTTTCACCACCTTCTGGGGTGTATCCGGGAATCATAGTGCAATTTCCCTTAAAATCTTACTTTAAAAGAAAGAAAAGCAAAACTGAAAGCAGAGCCCAGTGGGAAAGGAGGCATTTGCCAGCCTGTGCCCATGTGCCCCAGCTCTCCCAGTGACTCAGCTGGGCCCAGCTCAGGAGCAGAAACCTCTGGCATCCAGGGGCTCATACCCAGCAACGCCAGCCCCACTAAACAGGGGAGAATAGGGGGAAAAATCAAAACTCCTGGGGTGCTCCTGCATCGTCAGAGTTGCCCACTGGATGGTTTGGAGGCTTTTGCTGTTCCAGTCACCCCTCACATGCTGCTTTTACTGAGTGCATCTCCTGCTGTCCCACTCCCTGGAGAGTCAAATGCTGATTTAGGCTTTTTCTGAGAAAATGCTTAAAAAATGTCCACCACAGTTTTGCAGTCAAATGATCCCAGCAGGTCTGTCTAACCACTCTGTGCCCCAGCTGCCACCATTCCCACCCCGACCTGCTGGCTTTGGTACAGCCACACTTGCGAGTCCCAGGGAGGTGAGCGGTTTGCAGCCTTGTGCCAGGAGCTCTGCCACTGCCCCTCCCTTCCTGCACCAGCTGTGGCCAAGCTGGGGCTACAGGCAAAAGGCCAAAGAGCAAAGGTCTGGCCCCTGTGCACCTGCAAGGTGAGGTTTTGCCTCACACAAGCTGCATTTTTAAAGATATATCTTACTGCCCAAGAGAAGAAGATGAGCAGCAAGGCCTGCATGCAGAACAGTAAAAACATAAAATCCTCTTTTGCAGGTCTTTGAAAATACCTGCGGGGAAAGCTCCAGTGAGCAGCACAGATAAAAAGTGTAGGTGAAATGATGTCTACCATGTCTGCACAGTATACCTAACCTTGGTATTAACTGGAGGTACTAAATTTTCCTGGCTGACACAATTCCATTAGTGTTTATAGCACCATAACAGAAAAGAATTATTTTACACAATATCATTATCCTTGAAAAAAAACCCAATTTTTTTTCCCCACATCATTTTCTGTGCTTCATATAGGACTGCTCCTCTGCCAGGTTAAAACATGTACCTCTTGGGGACAGGGCATGCCAGTCTGCAGCAGATGATCTGCATACACTGTTGGGATGTCTGGTTACAGGACATTGGCATTTCGAGGTTTCCTTCCCAGAGTTTGCACCCTCACTTGGGTGCAAGTTCCCTTTATCCCATGTATCTACTATCACAGCAGTAACTTTTTCTGACTTCTCTTTTTATGTAAAAAAAAACCAAACCAAAAATTATAACTTTCTTTCCGTTTGCTCCATTTCCCTTCCTAACATTTAAATGGTATCACTTTGTTGCAGTTAAATGGAGTGGGTCTCTTCAATTTGCTGCTCCGTTCCCAAATCCAGATGAATTTTACTCAGTTGGGATTATGTGGGTGAGCTGGGAAGAGGGAGCAGTTCATCTTGGAGGGCTGGGATCAATCTGGGCATATTTCTTAAGGTGAGAGAGTGCCCTTTGCAGGTGACTGCCTCTCCAGGAACCCCGAGCACACCTCGTCAAAGCCAAGCCAAAGGTGTGCATGCTCAGATGGCATCTGTTTATCAGCAGGGCATTTGGAGTTATGAAGTCTATCACAATATTTAAAAAGCTGGATAAAAGAACAGATGGTTTTGGTAAGAGAATGATCTGGCTAATGAAATGAGGGTTAACACTTAAACTGAGAAGCAGTTTTAACTGGGTTTTGACAGTTTTACCCCCATTCAACCCATGTCATATTTAACCTCACCGCTCCTGTTTCTGGGTGGGTGACATCTCTTGCCAGGCCTCACTCCAGCTTTGGAGCAGATGGAGCAGGACATGAAAAACAGGTGGTATATACATTTTTTCAGAAAACATGTATTTCCCAGGAATGAAAGCAAACTCAAAGCAATTCCCTTTTCTGTTTTCCTCACCTCTGTGTACCTTTTTGTCCCCAGAAAAACAGCCCCAGATAACCATAGCCAGTCCTCAGTGGTAATATCCCTCTGGGATGGACTGTAACTGGGAGAGCATGAGGTTGCTTTGATTCTTCCTGGGCTGCGAGTGAGGTCTACAAGGGCAGTAAGGATTAGGCCTGTGGTAGTCCTCTCTTTAATATGAAAAGCAAAACACCTTCAAGGCCTGACCCTACTACTTGATGTCAAGACACGGAGGCTCAGAATTCCCACTTCTCTGTCCCTGGAAGTAAGTAGATGTGAGATGGTGCACAGTTCAGTCCCCGTGAAGAACAATGATGTTGTGGAATTTGGACAGGGAACGTGCACGTGCTATAATGCATCAGCGGGAGGAAATGCTAATGAACAGACAGCAAAGCAAAGCCATAATTGTGAACATTCATTTGTGTTGGAGCAGTTTGGCTTTCCAGGCCAGGCAAATTCCCAGGCACATCCCCAGTGGGTCTCAGAAGCCCGGCAGGAAAACCCAGTGTAGGCTGGGACAGAAGTCACGTGCTGCTCAGGGCATCCCTGGAGCATTGTCATGTCTGCCCACCAGTGTCACTGCAATTGTGTCTTCCAAATCGTGGGCTTAGCAGGGAGGGACACCAGTGTCAGCCTCTGGCACACTCACCCCCTGGAAAGCCAGGTGGTGGATAACCCCAAACAAGAGGAGGGAATGTACTTATGGCTACTTGACTTTTTGCCAAGGTAGTGTCAGTGGACATGTGGGAGGAAAAACTCGTTCTACAGGTCAATGTGAGCTTGCAGTGGGATTTGGGATGTGCAGCCTTACCATGAGGGAGGCAGGGGAAGCATTATTGTGGGATGTAGCTCAAAAGCAACATGCCCATGTTGCTTTTTACCTCCCTTTGCACCCTTACAGTCCTTGACAGGGGGATGCTGCAGGATGAGTTTCACAGGAGAGGGGCTGCTCCTCCCATGGGACTGCTGTCCCATGAAGAAGGGATTGTAGGAGATATCTCTATGGAGCTAGGTAACACCATCCCTTGATGGCTGATGCCTCCCTGCATCTCTTGCTTCCTGCACTGGGTGGGCTCCAGCACATGGTTGTTGTCCCCAGGCTGTACCCTTTTTTAAGCTGTGATTTTTTAATTTGTGAGGGTTTTGGTGGGCCTGTCAGCATCGTGCATTTTCCAGCACTCACAGGGGCACCATCTGCTCAAAAAAAAAGCTGTGAACAAAATGTCTCAGACACTCAGAGTTTACCAAAAATGAAATTGCTTTAAAATCCCATATGGTGCATTGTTTTCCTTCCAGCTTTGGCTGACAGCAGAGGTGAAGTGACTAAGGCAGTTTCTGATTAGTTGGTGTGTTTTCCTTTCTGGCCAAAATCACTAGGGCTGCACATTGTCACTTCTCACCTGTTTGACAGAAGGTTTTCTTCAGCCTCGGCTGCTGAAAGCCAGGGGATACTGGGACTCAAAGAACTCCCCTCTGTTACTGTTAAAGTGGGCTTCCTTGACTTTTGCTATCACGGGAAACATTGCAGTCAGGGATGTGGCTAATGCTGATATTTCAAGCATACTTTTTTGGAGGCACCTGATTTTGAGGCCTCTCTTGGTGACACAGGGGTTGATAGTACCTCCTTGCCCAAGGAAATGCCATGCCCAGCAGTCACTTGTCATGGCTCCTGAGTGTGGCAGAGAGATGGGACAGTGTCAGGTGCACACAGAGGGAAAACCTGGTCAAGATCTCTGGATTCTGTGGGGTTGCAAAAATACAAATGCTGCAAGGAACCATTTATTAGTCCAAGATAGCACAGGATTTGAAATACCAGAGCAGGAAGAATGTTCTTTCAGCTCTAAAAATAGCTCCCTCAGCCTTTAAAACACCAAGAAGCATACACAGCACATGCCTTCCAGTGAGAGTGTCTGTCCCCTCCCTTGATGATGCAGCCACTTTAGTAAGGGCTCAGGGGGCCTACTGGTGCAGTGCTTCCTCTGGGGATCAGGACTTTGAGGGGGTTTCAACCCCTGGGGATCAAAGAGATGAAATCTCTTCAGGGTGTCCCATGTGGGCCAAAGCTGCAGGGTGAAGGAGTGTTGCTTGGTCACTAGAAGGGCTATGAAACACTAATAAACTGCTGATGTATAGCTCAGCTCACTTCTGGGGTCTGGTGTGGATTTAGGCATCTGTTTTGTGTTGGTTCATAAGTGATAGCACC